TTTGGCAGAACTTCGTTATATGATAAAAGAAAACTTCTGACCAAAATTCGTCCAAATCGAAAGGGGTCGATTCCAACTATTGGTCGATTTGACATGGAATGACCCAGTATCTATTAAAATTTTTTTTTTTTCAAAAAAAAATTGTTTTAACTTCAAAATAAATATCAAATTAATGTTGTCAATATTATCATCCATAATTATCAATAAATATTTGAATATCAGGAATGTGAACAAGATAGGATCATAATAATAATTACATGAGTTGCAATGCAATGTTGATTCTATATGTGTTGTGTTTATACTTTATTTTTGTAATAATATTAATAATTAACAAATCTATCAATTTTGTTAATTTTGTAACAATTTATACAACAAAGGCAAGTGTGCACTGATAAAAAAATGAACTTGACTCAAGAGCCAAAATCTTGAAGCAAGAATACCATTTTGAAGAAAATGATTTTCTTGAGTCAAGAGAATAAATTTTTGAGACAAGAAAAATTAACAATAATTTCTTGACTCAAGAATTTATTCTTTTAACTTAAGAAAATCATTTTTTTCAAAATGGTATTCTTGGTTCAAGATTTTAGCTCTTGATTCAAATTAATTTTTTTATCAGTGTGCAATGTAAGATAATGATTCTTGTAATTCGTATTATGATGCGTGAAGAAGGTCTAATAAATGACCTAAACATCGCAGAAATAATAATATAATTATTATTATGATTCTATTTTGTCCACATTCCTGATATCGAAATATTTATAATTATCAAAGTTCACTTATTCACAAAGATCAAAATTTATTTATATGAATATAATTTTTATTTTATTTATAACTATTCAAAAAAATAAAATCATAAATCAATTTGTTCAGAATATTATCTAGTTTTTCGTAAAATTTTTCAATATTCAAGATAAAAATTTTTCCTCACTCAAAATTGAATTCATAAGTCCCCGAATTAATAATCTCCAAAAATCGCTACTTCAATAATTCTTTTGCATACCGTATATATATTTAAATTCTATCATGTTGGCATAAACTTATAAATTCATCTGCTGCTCAATGGATAACCTTTAGCCTCTTCTTAACAAATATAGATAAAAATTCTCTGAATACGATGACAGTTCAAAGCAATTACAATATTTTAAAGTAGTCTATTTTATACTCTCGTGCAATTAAAATGAATTCTTCACTCTATATCTTTATTTTTTTATTAATAGTAAGAACAATTGAATCCCAATGCACAGATTGTGTCGACACTGTTGTCAGTAAGTTAAAAAAAAATAAACATAATTTTATTAAAATTAAAATATGAATTACTAATAAAAATAACAGAAAATATATTTTTAAGGTCAACTTAAAGTGCAAAAGCCCGAAGGCTACAAGTGAGTTCTAAAAAAAAATAGTTTATCTCAGGAATGTCAATTAAACTTTAACAAATGTTTAAAAAAATTTCAGACCCTGGGGCAATAATTTATACAAAGCTTACAATGTTGCGAAGAATTGGAACAATGCACAACAGACATGCCAAGGAGATAACGGAAATTTGGCTATCATAAATTCAAGAGAAGAAGCCCAATTTGTTCAGCAGCTGGTAATCAATGCCCGACCAATCACCGGGTCGACATATCCCGGTGGCTGGGTCGGGTTCAGGGACTCCGATGGCGGAGCTAATTGGCAAACACTTACTGGACAAAATTTAAATCAGGCCGGGTATGATGTGTGGTGGAGAAAAAAGGATAGAGCCGAGAAAAATAAATGTGGAGCAATTAAAATATGCGGAAGATTATCTACGGTTTCTTGCAATAATCTAATTGCTTTCGTTTGTGAGATTAAACCTTCAATTGATTAATTTATTAATAAAATTATTTAATGGAAAAAAAATTTTTAAATTGCAAAGTTATCTTTTAGAATCCACTAATAATTTAACAAGCTTGGCGATATTCCAGCGTCATAACACGAGTTTACTAAAACCTGAAGCGGCAAAATTTTCCCCAGATATTCAATTTCCTTAGCGACCGAAAAATGTCAGCCTCTGGCTATTTCTTGCTCTGATGTGTCGCAATTTTTACTTATCTGTGTAATGCATAGAATAAATTAAGATGTTGCGGTATTTACTGATAAAAAAAATTGAACTGCAAAAAAAAAAATATTTAATTAAAAAGAGAAATATTATCTTCGAAAGTTAGTACGGATTCATTTAAATTAAGAAATTCAGCAGTTTAAACAACAAAATCAAACTGCAGAATATTTTTTTAAGAAACATTTTGCACCGTATCATATCTAGTAATTGTATAGAATAAGAACAGCTTCTGGAGTTTTTTTTTCTACTCGATGCCGGAAAACCGAGGCAAAGGTTACTTAAAAGGGAAAAAATAGGTTAAATTGAAACGGTTAGTTTTCAGAATAGTAAGTGTGATAAGTCAACGAAACAGCGGCAAGTGACAAGTGAACGTTATTTCTGGTGGTTGCAGATGCAAAGTACCATAGAGCTTGCGGTTTAGCAGGCGACCAAACCGCACATGACCGAAAAAGAGGGTGAGAAAGTATGAAGAGCCAACCAGTACTACGTACACACATATCTAACCCAGTTATAAACATTACCTTTTATAATTATTATTATTATCTCTGTTTCAGTTCTTAATTTAAATTTAGTCATTTATTTTTCGAGCTCCTGAAACTGCAATTGAAATTTGGGTGAAGAAAAAACATCGATTTATGGAAAAGTTTATCGGATAAAAATTTTTTTTGTTACGCTAAAGAAGATCCAAGTACCCTCATAGTGTGAAAAATGATTATAAAAAAATAATGCGTAGAATTACTTTTGTTATGCATCTTAAAATTAATTTTTAAATTAATTAATAACATTTTTGAAGAAATTTCCAAAAAATTTACTCATTAAATAATTATTAACATTTAATTGACTAATAAAAAATATAGCACTCTGAATTATCGGTGTACACTTGACAACACCGCAAGAGTTTCCTAACCTTAAAATTTATTTATGTTTACTGTCTAACTAAAATGACTAAGATCTTCTAGCATTTAAAAATCCGCGGTTACTTATGCGCCGAATAACTGCGCAAGCGGTGTTGCCAAGTCAAATACAAGACTTTAAAGAACGCAAGTTCCGAGTGATTTTTCATAAAAAATGTAAAGTATCTCCGTAATACGTTCGGAAAGCTACTTTTTTATTGTTTTAATCGAAAGCTTATTATTTTTTCAATCAAATTCAATGAATATAAATTTTTTTTAAATCGTTAATTGCATTAATTTCTTAACCAAATACACGGCTGGTAGAATCTCCATTTATCTACATGTAAAAATTACAATTTTCAAACCTAATTATTTGACCAAATATCCCGGAAACCTAGTGTTTTTTAATTTTTTTTATTAATTATTATCAAAGTCTGCAAATTTTCTAAAATAATTTACATTATATATTGATATTTACAATACAAAACTGCACTGCTCTGATCTATGATTGTTTATATTTTTTTTTCTTTCTTCTTATGCTGATATTGTGTCAAATCTTTCATTTGAAAATGACTATGTTTATGGTTTTACATGTCGACGGTCTAATTAGCAATTTGGCTAACTCCATATTTTTTAGAAGGTGATTTTTCAACATTTTTAAGTAGTCATAATCGAATTATAAATTATTTGAATGATAATAATTATATAAAACGGGTTTTTAAAGTGATAATAAATTTTGAACTAATTATTTTTTTCGTACAAATAAAATATATTCTCTAAAATGGAGTTAAACAATTTGCTAATTAGAACGTCGATGTACTTTAATTATATTCATTTTTAATTTTGCCATTTGGCTTTTTGCTTTGGCATTTAAATTTGAATAAATAAATAAATTATTAGGCTACGTAGATTGAATTTACAAATTTTCAAGAAGTTTTAAAAATTTGACTACTTCACGTGGATCTCCTTAAAAAACAAAAAAAATAAAAGGGAAGTTTACGCCGTCACTAAAGTAATTAATCGGAAGCCCAAGTAATCAAATCTTTAAAAGAGAAACCTAATAAACTTTCGATCAAGGAAACTACGAGGGCGAGAAAAGAGGGTGGAGAAAGCTGGTAGTATCACCCGAGGGCATTATTTTCGGAGTCGGTTGTATATCGTGGAGTACCTAGCATTCGGCGCCTCGTTTGCTACCACAAGTACTGAGCCCGCGGAAGCCGTTAATATTCATATATTCTAACGAAGACTCAGAGTGCATAGCAGTTAGGTCGTCGACAACGACTTTACCGCAACCACGACAACGACGACGGCCGTGATTATTGTTCCGAAACAACGCGCTTGTCCTCGACTTTGATTTTTTTTATCCACCCCGGTCTCCAGGCTATTGTCCCTTTTCTTCAAGTCGCACTTCCATTCTTTACGGGCTACTTCCTGTATCGCCCTACACAATCCTAACACCCACCAAATGCTCTCTTCCCTCATATAAAATTTTTCTTCACACATATAACTGTATCTTCTTGTATATAGATATATATGTTGATGTTGACGGGGATGGTGAGTATCCAGCTTATATTCAATTGGCTTTTGTACCACAATGTGCTCGAGGAATCATCAATATATATGATATTGCTTTGGGATCAGCAGAAAAGAAAACGTTTCAATGATCCTGAAAAAAATGTATAAAGACCATATAAAGAAGGTCCAGCTTATCAAAATGACAAAGCTATATCGTTCAAATGGTCTGTGATCTTCTTTGAGCTTATCATTCCGCATAATAAGTTCTTTTATGTTTTATTATTATTATTATTTTTATTATTATTATTAATATTATCTATATTATTAAGAAAATAAAAAAAATTTTGTGTCCAGGATTCTTACCGATAATCAATTTATGATGATAAGTATTAAGGCTACATTAAAAAATTCTTTATCTCTAGGTACATAATTAAGAAATGACCTTGTATCTTGAGAACTATTGACATTTTTAAAGATATAAGCTCATCTCAATGTTACACTCATCAAAACCTTTCATTTGAGTACCAACATCAATTTTTCATATATTTATATATATTATCTATGTATATATGAAAAATATATCAAAAATGCAAGTGGGTAGTCTAATGAAAGCTCTTGATGAGTGTAACATTGGGATGAGCTTATATCTTAAAAAATGTGAATAATAAAGCAATGACGTTGTATTTTGTTCACTTATGAAATATTTAACGATATTAGCTCATCCTGGAGTTACACTCATCGAGACCTTTCATTTGAGTACCAACATAAATTTTTCATATATTTATATATATTATATATATGTATATATGAAAAATATATCAAAATGCATGTGGGTACTCTAATGAAAGCTCTCGATAAGTGTAACATCGGGATGAGCTTATATATTTAAAAACTTAAATAGTTAAGGAAGTACAGTGCAATTTTATATAGTTAAGAAACAACTTGTTTCTTGAGAACTATTGACATTTTTTAAGATATAAGCTCATCCCGATGTTACACTCATCAAAACCTTTCATTTGAGTACCAACATCAATTTTTCATATATTTATATGTATAACATATATATGTATGTATGAAAAATATAAGAAAATGCATGTGGGTACTCTACTGAAAGCTCTTGATAAGTGTAACATCTGGTTGAGCTTATATCTTTAAAAATGTCAATATTTAAGAAAGTACAGTGCAATTTTATAAAAGTTATTATTTAATAAAGCGAAATTTAATTATTTATAATTCACAAATCACGGCAGTCACATAGTGACTGCAAGGTTGCTAGTTATTATTATTTTCAGTAATGTATGATGACATACTGTCACTTGTTATTAATGCGATCATAAAAATTATGTTTTTAGAGGTTAAATAATACCTAATAGTTTATGCTAACAAAAAATGAACGAAAACAATACCAAGTTGTTAAATACTGAGACGTGTAATAAATTCACGTAGAAAAAGTCAAGGACGTTTACACGCGACTTAACGTCAATAAAATGCAGCAAGAGGAAGATAAACTGAGAGATAAGCCAACAGTTGACTTAAGACGGGCATATTTGGACGCAGAGACCAGCGATGAAGACCAGACTCCAATTAAAAGTAGCTATCTAATCCTATTTAATTAATAATATATAATAAAAGCAGTGTATAAAATTGTAAACTAATTCGCTATTAAAACTTTATAAATAAGCCCAGCAGATAGAATATATATATATATATATATATTGCATAACAATGCAAATTCCCGAAGGTGTTGGAGAATTTTCGATAGTTATCAACGTACATTTATAAACACAAGCCACACAACAGCACAGACAGCCTCGACGATACGAGTTTCAGGATTCGGTGTCAAGGTAACTCTCCGGGCGTAATAATGCAGTGGCCGGTGAACCGCTCGCAGTAGTTATACTAGAGTACACAAGCGCATTCACTGACAATTAATGCGAGTTTCCCGGGAGATTCCAAGCCGCCGGTTGACACGCCCCGCGATGTGCCACTGAGTTACACTATTTATACCGACTGCATTCATGTTAATTCTCGTATTACTTCCACATTAAATATATAACTACTTAATTAACTTTTCATTCAGATTACATGCGATAATCCTCAAAATATAATTAAATCTTCTCAGATTCTTATTTTTGTTTTCTTAATTCTTAACTTTATTTTATTGTTATTATGAGATAGTAAAGCAATAATTATTATTATTAAAAGTACTTTTGAAAGCTTAAAATAAAATGATATTATTATTTTACAATAATATTATTGAAGAAATTTAATTTGATCCTTAAATAATTATTGATGCTCACAAAAAATTTCACACATGGAAAAAATTAATCTATAAAATTCACTCTGATTCTGGTTAATTTTTACTTTTTATTTTTTACATATCATGCGATCATTTTTTAGGTACGAAATGATGAATATCAAATTCAAAATTCTTAATTATTATACTTAAACATTTTGGACTTAGACATAGCGAATATTATTGTTTGAAATAGTATTTTCTTCCATATAAATAATAAATTGTAGCATTTAAATGATAAATATTATAAAGTAATTGTTAAAATTACGATTTTACCCTTTGAAATGGTAATTTTTTTCCAATTGATCATTACTTTTTATAAATCGACGATTATTTATTACAGTTAACTTTTTTCCGTGCATCTAACCAGATAAAATCATCATAAAATTTTGCCATATATTATCTAAAATATAAAAATAATAAAAAGTCAAGTCGAGTTAGTTCTGGCTGTTGGTGTGACGCTCAGTTGGTCTTAATTTTTCTCAATTTATTTTTAATGCACAAAAGTTTCTCTTCAATTCTAATTAACAAAACTTTTTCAATCGCTAGGCGATAAGGAAATAGAAAGACCCAAGGAAACGTCACTGAGAACGACTTACGACCGCGAGGAACTTAAAAAACTGGTAAGAAAAATTCATCTTATTCATTGGGAATGTTGAGAGTTGAATTTCAAACGAAAAAAAAAAATCCAGCAGTATATTCAAATAATAATAATAATAGAAAATAAATTTTTTATCTAAAAGTTTATCCGAGTGAAAATTATGATTAAAAGTTTATAATTATTTTTACTCAATTTTTAACAGATTGGTTTTGTTAAAAATATGACAGCGTTATCAAACCTCGATGAAAATTATTGGAACGACTCGGCAACAGTTATTGAAGATATAGAACTATTTTTAACGAACACTCATATAAAAGTTTTAACTATTTTTTTTAACAACAATATTTTAACGAGTGACTTTAATTTTACGAATCTCAACCATCACGCTGGAGAACTCGCGTATTTTATACGCAAAAAAGAGCAAGCTTTTCACGCTGATACTTTTTACGAGGAAATTATTTTCGGAACAATTGACACCAGAAACATAGAAGCGACAATCATTGCACTCACAAGCGAAGTTCTTGCACCGATTTTTATGAATATTTACTCATGGAACAACAGTATCCTTTTTAGAATAATTAACTCGAGAACTGTGCATCAGTACACTGTGACAAATCGGGAATAAATCCGAAAACATCCGAGCGGAGTTTTTAGATAAAAATAAATTTAATTTAGTTAAAATATCATTAATGGTGTAAAATTATGAAATAATATTCAATTATATTAAATGTAAATATTATCGTACCGCAGAAATCTAAATTCAGATTTGGACATAAAAGTTTTTGAGTGATATAACGCAGACACGTGAGGGAGAATGAACGAGCAAACCCTCTGATCCACCGCAGGTTAAATGAGACCGTGATTACTATTTCGAGGATAACGTTACATTTTGGGTGATACAAGCCACTAGTAATTTGGTAGTAATTGGAGGCTAAGGGCTCTTGATTAGCTAGTTTACGGTGACCGTGAATAATTTAGTTTAATCATACAGCACGTGGTGCATTCCGTACTTTTGCCTCCAGGCATTGTCATGATCATCAACTGGTTTTAATATTATTTGACTACTGAATATAAATTGAAAATTTATCAATTTCAAAATAAGATTTTTGCTATAACTATTTCGAGTTTCTACATTGTATGTTCCTTTAAAATATATTTGAATATTACTATAAAATTAAAAAAAATTTTGGCATCAATTTTGTTTTAAATAACTAAAAATTACCGTTTTTTGCTCCTTAAAAAGTATCAAATTAAAAAATAACTAGCAATCTTGCAGTCACGATATGACTGCCGTGACTTGTGAACTATAAATAAATAAAATTTTGCTTTATCAAATAATGACTTTTGTCAAAATGTATTGTACTTTCTTGAATATTGACGTTATTAAAGATATAAGCTCATCCTGATGTTACACTCATCAAGAGCTTTCATTCGAGTACCTACATGGATTTTGATATATTTTTCATATATACATATATAAAATATATATAAATATATGAAAAATTGATGTGGGTACTCAAATGAAAGGTCTTGATGAGTGTAACATCGGGATGAGCTTATATCTTTAAAAATGTCAATATTTCACAAGATACAAGGTCATGTCTCAATTATGTATCAAGAGATAGAGAATTTTTTAATGCAGCCTCAATAATTATCATAATAAATTGACTATCGGTAAGAATGATATGATACCTTGAAAAGGCACAAATTCAAGTTAATACCTTTGCAATGACACTAAATTTCACCGGAAAACACCGATTTTATCATTTCACTGTCCTGAACACAAAATTTTTCTTATTCTCTTAATAATATAGATAATTGGTTTATAATACTAAAAATAATTCCAATGTAAAGAATTTATAAAAAATAATATGAAATGTTGAAATGGTAAAAACAACAGAATTAAATATTTTGATCTTAACATCATAAGAAGCATAAAGAAGAAAAGTAATAAAAAAATTCTTGGAAGTAAGTTTTAAAAAAGAATTTTATGATTTAAGAAAAAGTTTTGTAATTTATTCCTTAACGGTTCGACAACATGCGTAAAAGCAAACTTTGGTATGAGCTTGTACGGATTTCTGAGCAGTCTCACCGAGCAGAGATATAAAGCAGGGGGTTTAACCGTAATTTATGTGCCGATTGAAACAAATAATCTGACGGTGACAGAAGCCTGCAGCAATAAAGAGCTGATGGACCGGCTGGAGAAGCTCATTTTTCTGTGGACCAAACAAATAAGACTGGCGCTGTCAGAATCCGAGAGTCAGATAATTAATGCCCGGTTTACATGCATTATTGATGAACATAAATTCTGGACAACACGCTGTTAGTATTGCTCTTGTGTATTATGTATTTTTATTAAATGTTTAATGTTTAATATTATACTCGAAATTCAATTTTATACCTTTGTTCTCCCGGCATTTAACTGCGGAATAAAGGTAGACTAGACCTAAAGGTATAGAGGGTTAGAGAGTCTAAGCGGGAGATGTAAAGTGTAATATCCTGGGTCACGATCCTCATCCTTGTGAATTTGGGTTAACGCTCGTAGTTTCGCCTAAAGGCACTTCTGAAGGGATAAACGAGACTACGAAATCACCACAGGGATTTAAAGTGTCCACCGGGGGATATGCATCCGGTCATAAGCGCTGGGACGAATCTCAACTAACACTAACGCCATCAGTATTAACTATTTATCAACCTTATCATTTTCACTTTATTTATTTTTACCAACATTTCTTCATTATCATTTTTTGATTACTTTTATGAGCATCGAGTTTCAGATAAAGAAATTTTTCCCGGATTTATTCTATGAATTTTATGAATAGTAGGAACAATTACCATGATTTAATGAAAAAATTATTTTATTTAAGAATTTTTTGTCTTGAATTCTGACTCGACTCAAGAAATCTATATCTTGGTCGATAAATATTGACACTTATTGTTTGCAAAGGTTATTTATATTACCTTCAGTCGATATAGAAAATTCATTTACCGACGCTTATTAGTTAGAGGCGGCAATTGTTGGAACTATAAATAAGCTTTTGGAACCAATTTATAAGCTTGTTACCTTTATTTCCATTTATTAAACTTTTTGTAAAAAACATAATTAGAAAGTAAAAAATAAATTTATAATATGGATTAAATTCTAACTTTCTAGTAAGAAGATGATTTAGCGACCATGCGCCATCTGTTGGAAATTTTTACAACTAATTTCGATCGAAAAATTTTATATGGACATTTATGCACTGATAGAAGTATTTAGTACGGAGTACTAAACAGATTTAGTAAAAAAATTTTTATTAATTTATTTGGGAGAAACAAATATTTTGTACCCATCAATATTATTTGTTACAGTTTAGAAGACGTTACAGAAGACGTTTTGCAACATTAATTTCTTGAATCAAATAATTTTTTTTTCGGTATAAAAATTTAATTCAAACTTTTAACTTTAAAAGCTCATCAATTTACCTTTAACAATTTTTTTAATTACCTCCATAACAAATTACACTCAAACACGAATGTAGCGCTCAATATTTCTCCCTCTGTAACCCACTCCCATTACTCGGTAATAAATCAAACGAACGCATCAATTACACATTTAAAATAAAAAAAATAACAAACAAAAAAATCCCTTTGACAAAAATCAAAATACTTATTAATCTTTATTCTCCCCCAGGGACTAATTTGCGGGGACTGAATCACCAAATAAAAAGCGCACAAGTTCAACACATCCTGAGCATCCTATCACAAGCAAACTCTGGTCAATTGGAGCAGTTTGTGCTGCTGAATAATGAGATAGAGCTCCGTACAAAAGAAGCTGAGACAAACATCGAGTTTTTGGAGCTATTGAAAGCTCCTTGCGAGGACTTGAACGAAATAACGAAACCCGAAGACCTTCTGGAGCTTCTGCCAAAAGTTTTGCATGTCTTCCGCTACATTTGGCTCAACTCCACGTTCTACGGCGAGCGAGCCTATCATTTGATGAAAATGATCAACAATCAAGTGATAAACCTGAATCGCGGATTCGTCAACCTGGACGACATTTTCGAGCACAAGAAGACGCGCGAAGGGATAGAAATTCTTGAAAAGTGCATTGGAGCTTGCGAAAATTACAAAGATCTCTATTCGAAGGCAATTTTAATCATAAATCTATTAGCTCGTTCGTGTGCTATCAGATATAAGCAGAGTCTCTCTTTAAAATGATTATGCGGGTATCAACAAAGCGCCCGCAGTGTGCTGATATAAAGCTATCAAGAATTGTCCCTTGATCTTTCAAAGAGCTTTTTATTCAACCGTCAAAAGAGATCATAAACTGCTTCTTTATTTTATTTTTATCCCCTATCGTTTCTTTTATTCCCTTATACTCGTTTAGACGCTCTCTTTATCTCTTTCTCTCTCACGCTTAATAACCTATTAATGTGATCTTCCCTTTATTCCTTCGATTTATATGTTTATACAGTTTGCACAAGCTCACAGCGGCTTAACATCAAACGCTTGGGATTTGGATGACAAAGAAGTTTTTCACTACGTTGATATCTTCGTCGAGAGATGCAAAAATCTTATTGAAATATGCTACGCTATGATCGATTTTGCCCAGTAATTATTAATTTATTTTTTTTTTTTATAATTAATTTTAAAAAACAAAATTGTTTTAGACAAAACCGGCATTGTTTGAAAAAAGAAAAATAATTTTTTTAACTATGTGGGTGATTCTCTGTAAGGACAAAATTGTCCGACCAAACTATTTTTGATTTTATTAGAAAAAAAAATTAACAAGGGCTACAAAACTATCAGCTTAATGATAATAAATAAACAGCCAATTTAATTTTTGTTTTTTCGATATTTGTGTATCTTTTGCCATATAACATGACAGAGGACTGTTTGCCAGGGGACTGTTTCTTTTATCAAATTGAGAAAAATCAAGCAAACTATTTCAATTCAACTTTTCAAGTTCTCAATGAATATTTACATTAATTAGAATAATATAAAGACTTATGGATCGAATTTTACAAATAAATTATAAATAAAAATAGTTGCCAAGAGACTGAGTTTTGAAGTGGCCCAGACACATATTTCCAGCACAAAAGGTGTGTTGACACTAAATAAAATGGCGATAAAGCGCTAACAGCCCTATGGTTATTAACTCAAGGCTATTTAGATCCTTATAAACCTTACAAAAGGTAAAAAAACACGCTGGATTTTTTTTTAGCTTTGAACTTCTGGCAGAGGACTGTTCTTAAGACGCCTGGGACAAACTTTGGTTTAATGAATTTAATGAAACAAATTAATTTTCGGTACTTTATATTGAAGAAGATTGTTAGTTAACTAGCTAAGTTTATAAACATTATGGACAAAATTATATATTATGGACGAATAACTTAAAATTTAATCTTAAAATTTCCATTTGGGGAATGGGACAGTCCAGAGGACTGTTATTTCGGTAGTTTACGAATTTATAGCAAAAAAACCAAAATTTATTTCATTTTAATTTTCAATGCTCCGCATAGAAATGTTTTTTTACTTTCGCAATAAATTTTTTTTAGTAATAAAATAACATCTTTTCTAATAAAAAAATGCCTGGGACAGCAAAAAACATCCTTACAGAGAATCAGCTATTTATAATCGTTGAGTGGAGAATATTGTTCTTTTTATCCTTGAGTTTTATTTTTTTAATTCTTAGATAAATTTTTTTAAATTAATTCAAACTAAATATCTTGAAGCCAGATTGAAATTTCAAAAAAAAATATTTTCCAAATTAATATAGTATTTTTTAAAGTAGTTTAACTATCAAATTTAACTAGCGTAAAGCTTACCAGAAGCCAGACATACGACATAAATATTTAATTTCCCAAAAATAAATCAACTTAATCTAAATTCCGCGAAACTCAACAGTCTAGACACTGTAATTAAGAAGCTAATAAAAAATGAATAGTCAATAAAACGAGTCAGACACATACTCACATACGTTTAATTAAAGCGCAAGACAAATGCTTAGCAGCATCTAATTGAATATTTATTTAGCAGAGTATCTTTAGATGCGCAAGCCTTATATATATCGTGTAGCTGTGTATTGATAGCTTAATGAGTAAATCTCGTAGGTCCTATGGCATCTTATAAAGTTATAAAGTTTACCAAGTCATTGACGTATAACAGGCTTCTAAAACCAACAAACTTGCTTAAGGCATTGATAATATTTATGTTTCACTTAAGAATTCGAAAAGGACAACTTTTGATAACTATCGCAAATACAAACTTTAAATCATAGAAAAATAAATAAATAAATAAGTTTATTCGATTCTATTTGATAATTTTTTTTTTATTTTTTTTTTTGTTGACAAGATTGGATGAAAAGGCGGAGACAATCCGAGGAATTTTCAGTGGAACGAATGGCAAAGAATATGAGAGAGTTTGTAATAAAATAGAGAAACGTTTTTTGGTTTATTTACAAACACTGAGACTTAAAGCTCCGAAGATATTAGACGTTGAAGAGCCCACCTGGTATGACGACATGTTCGCATTCCAGAACGAGATGAAGGACTTGGAGATTACAATCGAGAACCTCGTGAACCTCGTGTTCAGAGACATGAATAATGTACATCAAGGCATTAGCAATCTCGCCGGATTTCAAATTTACATGAATCGAAAAAGCTTGAAAACTCTTTTTGACTCAATAATAACGAAAGTAAGTTCATTGTTTTTATAATCAAATACAATCGTCAATTTTTGTAACCTCATCCGCTTCGCTTTTGAGGCGTGCAATAATTAAATTGGTACATAATAATCATTAGAAATAAATTTATCTCTTTAGTTTAGTGTCGAATCTTTAGTCGAAAAATTACATATAGATCGTCAAAATTGACGATTTCCCTGAAAAAAAGTTCAGATATATTTTTTTAAATTGTTAAAATTATAATTAGAATTTTACTGATGTTCTCATTAATTATAATCATATAATTAAAGATCTGGCTCCTGTTTGCAAGCGACATCCAAGCAGTGAAACAAGAGCTGGTGGAGGAGCGAAACGAGAGCCCGTCAAACACTCCATATTTTTCCGGACGGGCACTAAGCTTGAAGCTGAAAAGCAAGCGATTAGAAGCGACTAGACAGCGGCTCTTGGAGACAAAATGGGCTGGACATTGCGGAATTAGTTGTAAAGTGTGCCATCAGCAGGAGATGTTGGTCGGTTCCATCAGTGAAACGATCTTTCGGCTCTATCACGAGTGGATGGATGACATCGGTGATAATCCAAAGAGCCGGTTGGATCGATACTTGATGCGACGGAGCGACGATAAGCCGGGACTGCTGGAGTCCAACCTCGATCCAAACCTTGTGAATTTATGCCGCGAGGCGAACTATTGGCAGAACCTAGGCTTCCAAATTCCCATTTACGTACAGATGATCTATGATAAGTGGGACACGCTACAGTTCGTTTCTGAGAGCGTCCTTATGCTTGTCCGTGCATACAATAGGATACTTGATGGTATAATACCCCATTGTCTTTCTAGTTTTAACGTTTTGTTTTTTTCCGATGTAATTTTACCTTTTGTATCTGTGTCTGTCTGTTTCCTTCTGAAGCTCTTTCGCCTCAAGAGAAGGCTTTTTTTCGGCGCCATATTACGGATCTTGACGAAAAAATTTACCCTGGATTATGCAGGCTCACTTGGAACTCTGATTTGATTGACGTTTACGTCAAAAAATGCTGCGACTTTACTACTGATGTAATTTTTTTTCATTTATATTTATAGTTTAAAATTTTGTAATGTAAAAAGTTGAAACTAAAATATTACCGAATTTTTAACTGAAAGAATAAATATGAATCGCATTCACGTAGCAACTGTCAAAGTTTTATCTAAACCACTTCTAAGCTCGGTATCTGAGCTTCTAATCATTAATTCCTCGCTTCCAAAGAATTTAATTTTGAACTTCTGTCTAAACTCACTCTAGAAGTACCTAATTCTGAAAACCGATTCCGAGAGGCTTGAGTTCAATTTCAGAGCTTACTAATTATCCCAATCTTCAGTAGTTCCATGTAATTTATAATTAAGATATGCCTGTCACTAAATTTTCTCCGTTATCTTGATTATAAACTAGTCAATTTATTGAATTCATTTTATACTTGGTTCTAAGTTATAAACTAAAGAGCACTAAAATAAATTACCTACTTATACGAATTTTAAGTTTGAAAGGACGAGAACGTTTTTATCGTAGTGAAAAACGTTCATAAAAATTTCAAAGACTATTTCAACTTTTCCAAAGCAAAATTTTAAGTCTTGTTGATAAATTTAGATCTAATACAGTAATTATTTTCTAGTTTCAAGAATTCTTAGATACTTACAAAGACGTAAACTCTGCAATTTTCCAAATCTGCGAAAAAATAAGCGTAACACCACTGGTGAAGTTGCAACCTAATTTTGGGTACTCGCTATCAGAATTCGAAAGTGAAATAAAAAACAGCAGGTAAATGAAACAATATTAATAAAAATAAAAACCAGTGAAAAAATTTTTTGATACGGCACCACGGAAAAAAGAAAACTCGAAAAATTATATTGTAAATAGTAATAAGTGTCCCGTCGTATTAGAAATTGAAACTGGAATTTTTCAGTTTTCATCCCGAAGCGCCACGTTACATTATATATAATGTAATTTTTCTTTTTTCCGTGTAATTTTAATATCTTAGCTATTCATGGCTCGATCTAATCGTACATGTCTATATCGAGCTATAGATTTGATTACTTAATTTCTGAAACTTTAATCTCTAGTGAGGAGACAATTTAGCGACAATGCACTCTCTATCGGAAATTTTGGACACTAAATTTTTCCGAAAAATTATTATCATGCCTTATATGGGCAAAATAAGTCATTCCAAGACATATCAAACCAGATAGATAATATAAACAAATATAAATGCAAATATATGGCCATATTAAGACATTTAAAATGGTATATAGAAGTATCAGACTATATAAAAAAATTTTTTCACGGAAATAATAAATTCCATTAAACACTCGCGTAATCTTCTGTCAGAATAACGGAGCATTACGCGAGTTCTAGTGGGTTGGTTTTATTATTTAAAATATCGTTTCATAAGAGTTGTTTTCTTGAAGGGATATCGCATTGAAAGAGCTTGAGGAAAAATACAGGGATATTATTAAATACCTCTTAGTGGTGTATGAGAGGTTTCAGTGGATAATATCCGAGGTAAGTATTCTATGACAACAATTGACTCATGATCCACCAGCCAAAAGCTCCTTATTCATCTGCTCTATTGAGACTGTTCCATCTATTCTACGACTTCCGGGAATTTCCGGGTATTCGTAATCTCTTCGGGATACAGAAACACGTAGCATATAGTATATAGGACACAGCATATACTTCAGCCAGTTCATGTCCTCCACACGCGTCGAGATAATCCTGTGAGACTTAGTGCCCTGATGCGATTCAACTCCAGTTGACAATTTTCCTAGTGGCAGACACTGGACACCATCGATTTCACGTTCTGCTGCTAACGCGATATACCATCAACCATGATATATATTATAGTGTATATTGCCAATCACCTACCAACACCTCTTAATCTAATCTTTTCAGAGCACCGAGGAATGGAAGAACTATCTGATTAACCTGGATAGAATTTTCGAGGAGAGCTTGCGATTGTCTATAAGAAGTTCGTTAACGCTCATGTTTAATGCATTGCACGGCGTCGATTCTAATGGCCCATCAACCCTCATTTTAATTGGCATTAATCTCCTCGGTAATGATGTAAGTGATTCACTTCGGTGATTACTAAGGTGTATAAAAAAAAATCGAAACTTTGTTTTAATTTAATTTCAACCTATTTTCTGGAGTTATTTTTACACTGTAAATTTTTGTTTGTTAATTTTAATTAATTTACATTATTAAAAGAATAAGAAAAATTTTGTGTCTAGGATAGTCATATGATAAAATCGGTTTTTGTAGTAAAATTTAGTATCAATGCAAAGGTCTTCATTTGAATTTGTGCCTTTTCAAGATTTCATATCATTCTCACTGATAGTCAATTTATGATAATACGTACTTAAACTGCTTTCAAAAATTTTCTATCTTTAGATACATAATTACGAAATGACCTTGTATCTTGAGAACTATTGGCATTTTTAAAGATATAAGCTCATTCCGATGTTACACTCATCGATACCTTTAATTTGAGCACCCATATTAATTTTTCATATATATATATATATATATATATATATATATATATCAAAAATGCATGTGGGTACTCAAATGAAAGCTCTCGGTAAGTGTAACATTAAGATGAGCTTATATCTTTGAAAATGTGAATAATAAAGCAATGACGTTGTATTTTGTTCACTGATGATATTCTTAACGATATAAGCTCATCCTGGAGTTACACTCATCGAGACCTTTAATTTGAGTACCCACATCAATTTTTTCATATATTTGATATATTCATATATATTAGATATATGGAAAATATATCAAACATGCAAGTGGGTACTCAAATGAAAGCTCTTGATGAGTGTAACATCGGGATGAGCTTATATCTCCAAAAACGTCAATATTTACGAAAGTACAGTGCAATTTAGCAAAAGTCATTATTTAATAAAGCAAAATTTCTTTTATGGTTCACAAGTAACGGCAGTCACATAGTCACTGCAAGGCTGCTAGTTATTTTTTAATTTTCGATACTAAATTAATTGCACATTTTTTCAATTTTAACAGTTAACTTTCCAACCTCCCCTCGACGAAAGCGCTCAAGTAATAAGTAGTATCTTCAAAACTCTTCTGGAACCTCTAAAAAGTGTCCTAAGATTCCCCGAAAAATTCAGTCTAGGCCGTTACGGAGTTTCCAGTCTCTGGCGAACATTCAGAGAAAATGATTCTCTTCTCCATTTCCAAAAATTGCTTGACAAGGAAATTGAAGTTTGTTTCAATTTTATTCAAGATTATCTAAAGACCTGGGTGCCGTTTCGCGATATTTGGGAAATTGACAAAAATTCCTTTATTGCAAGGTATCAAAACAAAGTCAACAATTATTCAGCTTGATTCAGAACAACTAAAATTTTGATCTTAATTCCAAATTTTTCTTCTTGAATCAAGATAATTTTTTTATCAATGCAACTTTAAAAAAAAAATGTCAATAATTTTTCCTCCTTAATTCAAACAAGCTTCGAAAGCTCAAACCCATCACCTAAATCCTTCGACGCGGAAATTAGTCGATACTCTGAACTAGTAAGTACCCTCCAAGCCCAAGAAACAATCGCAATGGTCCACTTCCTTTACATTAATTCCGACCAACTCAAGACCGTAATAACAGAGCATTGTGCCGAGTGGCAAAACAAATTGACGCGCCTCCTCTTAGACATGACTCAGAGAACCGTCGAGGAGTTCTACGCGTCAATGAGTGAAAACACCAAAATGTATCCAAAAATTTTGATATGTTTATAATTTTTTTGGTTAATTCACTTCTAAACAAGCCATGTGTTTGCAGAATAAGCAAAGAGCCAACAGACTTAATCGAGATGCAAGCAACGTTGCAATTGTTCGAGAGACTCCGGGCTGAAATTCCGTGGAAAGAGGAAGAATTTCCCAAGATACGAGAACAGTACCAGATTCTAGGTAAGCCCTGATCCAATCGGTTGCTGGTGAGTAGGGAGAAAGGGGGTGTAATCGATCGCGTTACTCTTAAGATACTCTATACTCTGTAGACTGTAGACTGTACTCAGTAGTGAGTAGGAGGAATTACCTGTGCCTGAAACCCTAGAGTAATTGCTAGTGCTAGGTCTTGCTTCTTCAAATCCTCCCCAATCTTTAGTTTACTTTTTTATTTATTTTTATTTATACTTTATCTCAATCCCATTCCAACCATTAAATCGAATACACTGGCTCTGCAGAGAAATATGAGGTACAAATGACTCGAGAGTTCAAGAGGAGAGTCAAGGAGCTTGAGAAGAGTTGGGATAGTTACGTTGAATTTTTGTCTAATTATGCGACGACAATTCGAGAGATTAAGGTAAAAAAAGTTTGAAAAATCTAAAATTGCACGCCTCATCATCTCATTTTCTATAATAAAATTGATACAAAAAATACTTTTAAATCTTTCGCGCCATTGTCCACCCAAAAAAGAAAGGTACTGCGCATGTATTGTAAACGAACCTTATTTACATAGATATAGATATACAAACGGTTAGTGGATTTTTAGTTTATTGCTAATTATAAATAAACTACATTGAATTAGACCGTGATCTTCGAAAGGACTTAGTTTTAAATCATACTGAAGCGTATAAAAAATAAATGGACTTGATCAGTTAAGTTTTGAGGCAGTTATTGTGTACCAGTTTCCATACATACATTTGACAGCCGGACGTCCACGGAATAATTTTTTTAAACATATTTTTTATTTATTTAAAAAGCAAAATGTCTTTTAAAAATGCCATAAGTGTTGAAACTAGTGTTTATCTATTACATTTATATGTAACTATTGTTCTACAAGTGCGATAGAAAATAAATAGAGACAATTTTAGTTCAAGAAATCGCTTGATTTTTGTAAGGCGAGTGTAAAGCACAACCTCATCCGCTTCGATTATGAGGCGTGCAATAATTAAATTGGTACATAATAATCATTAGAAATAAATTTATCCTTTTAGTTTAGTATCGAATCTTTGGTCGAAAAATTACATATGGACATATATGGCCATATAAAGCCACAATAAAATATTTTTATAAGCTTTATATTTTTATATTTTTTTTTGTTAAAATTAAAATAAAAATTCTACTGATGTACTCGTTAGTTATAATCATATAATATGTGTAAATATTGTTCTACAAGTACGATAGAAAATAAATAGAGTCGTGAGGCGTGCAATTATTTACTTTGAATTAAGCAATAAAAATTTTTCACAAGTATATTTTTAATAATTTCTTCTAAAAATAGCTGAATTTCTTCAAATTGAATCAAAATCAAAAATTATCAATTTTCAAAGCTGAAATTAAAAAAAAAATTTCCTCATGTCACGTTATCTTACGTCTTGTAGAAGCAAACGCGTTTATTTTTATTTATTCGAAAAATGCTCAGTATACATATCACGGAATTCAGCTCTGATTATTATGCCCCGATCGTACGGTGCACGGTCTACTCTTACTGGAATGCTCCTAACGTAGACATTTTTCCCACAGGAACAGTTCAAGTGCAAACTCTTGAAGCAGGCAGATGTATTTAAGGAAGACACTGTCGCGTTGCTAAATAGATTCCAGGAAACCGGGCCGTTCACCTCAGACTGGAAAACTCACGGTCGGTATTATTATTTATTTACTTGGGTACTTTTTTTCCGAAAGATAATCTGAACATTTTAGCATTTATCGGTAATAATATTTATAGATGCTCGCACTTGGTTGGCTGATTTTCAACAAGAGTTAACCAGATTGAAACAAGTTGGAGATGAGCTTAAGAGGAACCTCACTATTTTTGAGGCGAGTTTTGTCGACTCTGAAGAGCTGGATAAGATTGAGAGGGTGATTATTGATTATTATTTTGAGAAATTTCATTATTTGCACACCTTAATGCTTAAAGCTCTTTGTGTTTAAAAAAAAAATTTCAACAGGAATTCACAGCGATTCAACTTGTTTGGGAACTGACCAACAAATGGGACGAGTCATGGGAGCGGTACAAAACGGTCAACTTCTGGACAATAGAAACTGATGAAATGGAATCAGTCGCAACAAAGTTATTCAAAAAATTCACCCGATTGTCAAAAGAACTCCAGGTCAAAAACTGGCCAATAATTGAATCAACGAGATCAAGGATAGACGAATTTCGTCGGACATTACCGCTAATAATCGCTCTAAAAAACCCTGCAATGCGTGAGCGACACTGGGACAAAGTGAAATTGATCATTGGACAGGACTTTGACGAGTCGTCCGAGGAATTTACACTCTCTTTGATAATGAAACTAGGATTTCAAAATTATTCGGATGAAATTTCGGATATTTCGACCACCGCTTCCATGGAATTAAACATCGAACAAGTAGACATTTTTATATATTTTATAGAAAAATGACAAAAATATTTTTTTCTAATTATCTTTTAATTTGTCAAAGCACGCAAAAAAAATATCCCGTTGAAATTTTTTATTTTTTATTTGAATTATTAATAATTTTTGAAAAAGTCAATTTTTCAAAAAATAATAAGAGATCTTTTTTAAAGATCGTTTAATTTCTCATAAAAAAAATCTGTCAAATTGCTTAGTACGTTGCTTGTAGAATGAGATATAACGTTCTAAAATTTAAAATCCATTTTAATTTTATTCAAATAAAAATTTTGATTCGCGGCTTGAAATTATTAATATTAAAAGCTCAAATTTCAACAGACTCTGTATTGCATGCCTCATAAGCGAAGCGGATGAGGTTGTACTCTATACTCGCCTTACAAAAATCAAGCGATTTCTTGAACTAAAATTGTCTCTATTTATTTTCTATCGCACTTGCAGAACAATATTTACTTATAAACGTAATGGAAAAACACTAGTTTCAACACTTATGACATTTTTAAAAGACATTTTGCTTTTTAAACAAATAAAAAAAATGTTTAAAAAAATTATTCTGTGTTTGTCCGGCTGTCAAATGTATGTATAAAAACTGGCGTGGTCACGATAACTGCCGAAAAACTTAACTGATCAAGTCCATTTATTTTTTATACGCTTCAGTATGATTTAAAACTAAGTCCTTTCGAAGATCACGGTCTAATTCAATGCAGTTTATTTATAATTAGCAATAAACTAAAAATCCACTAACCGTTTGTATATCTATATCTATGTAAATAAGGTTCGTTTACAATACATGCGCAGTACCTTTCTTTTTTGGGTGGACAATGGCGCGAAAGATTTAAAAGTATTTTTGTATCAATTTTATTATAAAAAATGAGATTATGAGGCGTGCACTTTTAGATTTTCCAAACTTTTTTTGCAAAATGTAACGATCAATTAAAAAAAAAAAGAAACATCTTTTTAATTTTTTTTTACACCCTAACATTTTCGCAAGGTATTTCGTATTTTCGTCCATATCCCAGCAGAAATAAAAAAGTAATCTATCTCCGTGAGTGATTTAATCTCTGAAATTTCTTTAGGGCTTAAGAAGCATCGCTGCAGCATGGTCGACCCTAAAACTGGAAATGACACTTAACAAAGAAACTGGAATTTATCGATTACAATCAGTGGACGAGATCTTGCAGACTTTAGAGGATCACCAAGTCCAGTTGTCAGCAATGAAGTCAACGAGGTGTAGTAAAGCTCTAAACCTTCTTCTTCTTGTTTTTTTGTTTTTTGTTTTTTCATTGACAGAAGTAGAGTTGAGTAGAGCGGTTTTAGTTAAGATAAGAATAGAAGAATAAAGCCAGAAATCGATCACGGGAATAGAAGCTGTAATCTCGAAGCCTCTGTTTTCTAATTCGTTATCTTTTTTGGTCCCTCTGTACCAGGTTCGTCGAGCCCTTCGTAAACGACGTAGACCAATGGGAAGGGACTTTGTCAAGGATTGCCGATTTACTTGAAGTAATGCTTCTAGTCCAAAAAGACTACATCTACCTGGATAACATATTCCGCGCAGAAGATATAAGAAATCAAATGCCAAATGAAACAGACAGCTTTGATGCATTAACCATCCAATTCAAAGAAATTTACAGTCAAATGGCTGCAGCCCAGAATGTCATTCAAGCTTGTCACGATTCGAGTAAAATACTTTAAGGAGATTGTAACAGACACACAGCACAGACATTTATTTGAATTTATGTATCTTTCCGTTTTTAAGATACCATGCTTAGGCAGCTGAATAAACTCACCGATGACATGGACTCGATTCAGCGAGCACTTGAGAGGTATTTGGAAACTAAGCGTCATGTTTTTCCGAGGTTCTATTTTATTTCCAATGACGATCTTCTTGAGATATTGGGCAACGCTAAACGCCCAGATTTTATTCAGAAGCATATCAAGAAACTCTTTGGCAACATTCATGCTTTGAAGATATCTAAGGTATTGCCGGCCTTTAACCATTTTTGGTTTGAAATAAGAAGATGTTTTTGGTCTTAGATGATTACTGGGAGACATCTGGCGGAAGGAATGATCTCCGCTGAAGGAGAGTATGCGGGGTTCCTTAAAGCTGTAGTTATGGAGGGACCGGTGGAGAATTGGTTGTGCAAAATTGGTATACTTTTAAAGTTATAATAAGAAAGATCAAAAATTATACATGGATACATCAAGCTAATATGGCTTGGTATAACCAATTTTTATATTAGATGATATAAGGTCTTATCAGAAAATTTTTTCAAGGGTATATGTAATTTTTTGATCAGAATTAGTGTTGAAAATCGCCGACATAGGCGATTGTTGAATCTTCTCCTTACAACAGATATAATTTTAAGAAGATCCAAGTACCCTCATAGTGTAAAGAATCCCTACAATAAAAATACATGACAGTTTGAAGTTAGTCAATAGTCGAAAAAATGGGACCTGATTCCTTATTGGTAGAATATAAACCCTCCTCAGTTACTATTGGTCAATCTCCTGGTACGTGAACATATCAATATATCGATATAAATCGAACAGGATAAATTCATTCTAGAATTCCGATAGGGGGCGCGCGAGTGCGCGCCGTTAAAAATTCTAGTGTCTATAAAAAAATAATACGCAGAAATACTTTTGTTATGCATCTTAAAATTAATTTTTAATTAATTAACAAGATTTTTGAGGAAATTTCCGAAAAATCACAGTTCCTTATGATTTTCCATAAAAAATATAAAATATCTCCGTAATACGTTCGGAAAGCTACTTTTTTATTGTTTTAATCGAAAGCTTATTGTTTTTTCAATCAAATTCAATGAAAATAAAATTTTTTTTAAATTGCTATTTGCATTAAATTCTTAACCTAATACACGGCTGGTGGAATCTCCATTTTACATGTAAAAATTACAATTTTCAAACCTAATTATTCCATTAAATATCCCGGAAACGTACTGTTTTTTAATTTTTTTAATTATTAGGCTACGTAGATTGAATTTACAAATTTTCAGAAAGTACTAAAAATTTGACTACTTCGCGTGGATCTCCTTAAAGAGTCAAATTCTATAGTTAAAATTTTTTTTACGTCCCTGAAGAGCTTATCTAACATTGATTTTAAATTTAATCATTTTTTTCTCAATGCGTCATAACAATTGACGTAAAAATTCTGCAGAAATTCTATAAAAGTTGAAAATTAAAGTAACAATTTATTTTTATTCTCATATATATAGCCTAATATAACGAAATCAACAAATATCAGGGCTGATATAAAAATTGGTCATTCTAGAAAATTTTTTCACACACCATCTATACAAACTGATTTTCTCCTCAATACACCCTAACCTTTTCTTCAATACAACCGTTCGATTGAAGACGAGCTCATTCTCGAGCAATAACGAAACGAGATTACACATTGTTCGTTTCAGAAACGGGGATGCGAGAGTGTCTGAAAGAGGTTCTAAGAGAGTGTCGTTCGGCACTGAGAAAAATCCAGGATAAACGGGACAAGTGGGTGAAGGAGTGGCTGAGTCAACCGGGAATAACGTCCACTCAGATACAGTGGACAAGCGACTGTACACGAGCACTTGTACATTGCAAGTGAGTACGGAAATTCAACGGTGTCTACCTTGTATTCTACTGCTTCGGCTAACTCAATGGATCCACCTAGATGTAGATATATACATAGATACACATATACATATCTATATCCATATCCTTGTACATGTATATTGGCGTGATGGAGAAGAAGCTGGAGGACAAGTCAAGTGCAAGAGGAAAAGGACAGCAAGTTGAGACGTAGATGTAAATGTAGATGTAGATGGTCAGGTCAACCTGATGACTTAAGCGAGCCAGACACGGCAACTCTAATAAGAGAAATTTTGCATATTCTGCTTACCATCGTCCTCACTTGTTCTCCTCTTGCTCTCCTCTCCTCTCCCTTGAACCTTCGCCTTCGTCTTCTCGTCTTTCTTCTTCTTCCTCTTGTTCTCACACTTACTATGTTCAGAACTGTACTATTACCGGCCCTTCGTACGCTATTCTCGTTTGCATATACCAGAGATGCTGTGAATAATTTAACCCACAGCCTTATTCTATTCCGCTTGGCCTCTGATAAAATTCGTATACCCAACGAACCGATGAGAGAAAAATATCCCTAGATATATGTGTGTTGTGGTCGGTAATCCTACAGCACTATCTGATAAGCATTTTCGCTATCGTTCAATTCTGTATAATGAAAACAATTTTGCACTGAAAAAAATTACACAGAAAAAAAGGTTCACTTGAGCCAAGAAAATATTTTTCTTCCTAATTATTTTCTTGAGAAAAAAATATTTTTTTTTGACAAGAAATTTCACTTATCCCAACAAAATTAACTCTCTTACTTTAAGAAATATGTATCTTGATTCAAGAAAATTTATTTAAGTCAAGAAAATCTTGTTGTTTTAGGAAAATTCAGCCTCGAGCTCCAAAAAATTTAGTTCTTGATAGAAGTAAATTTTCTTGTCTTGAGAAAATTTCTCTCTTGCTCCAAAAAATTAAATATAAAGATAGAAGTAAATTTTCATTAATATTTTTATTGATTAACATGTCAAATGCGAAGATCAAATAATATTTCATCATTTTTTTCATTCAATATGTATAATTGCACGCTAAAATAACATAAAATGGGTATCAAATATTCAAGAGAAAAATTTTCTCAAGGTGAGAAAATTTTTTTCTCAGCTGAAGTAGGTGGCACCACTTCCCTAAAGTATCTAAAAATCTTGATCAAATACAGTCGAGTCGCGTTATGAGCCCTCCTTGTGTCTCTCTCTTATTAACGCGAGTCTGGTTAAAAAACAAAGAAAACAAGCCGGACTCATAACGCGATTCGACTGTATAAAAATTTATTATATCAAGTATTTATGATAGAATTAAGAAAAAATGCTTCTACCAAGAATAGAATTTCTCAAAAAATTTATACTTCGGCCTTCCTTCAGGCACCCGAAAATTTTCTTGAGCTAAGAATTTTGTTCTCCAGTCAAGAAATTTTTCTTTCTGTGTAAATAAGAGATTTTCTTCAAAATTTTACATTTGCTTCGAAATATTCAGTTTAAATTACTTCAAAAAAATACATTTCATCCAAAATGAGTCTATACTTTTCAGAATCGGTTTAAGTATAATGTTTGTTTTTGTATTTTACTTAAAAAAAGCGATTTTATTAAACGGATAATGTAAAATAAAAGAAAATGAAATTATTATAAGCTTTTTAAAATCGTATTTGTTGAATATCAAATTTAATTGTATCTTACGTTGATTAAATACTCCTGATCTTTAGATTTCAAATTTCTGAAGCCAAGAAAATAACTTTTGAAACAAGAAATTCTTAATCAAGACACAAAGATTCTTTTTAAAATAATTTTGTATCTAGGTCAACAGTATTTCCCTCAACTAAACTAGTTCTTTGAATAGTGCACTACCCTACCACAATTTGTAAACACATATATTTATACAGGTATACGTGTGTCTATATATTCTAGAGCGATGGAGTCTAGGAAACCACTAAGAAAACTACGAAAACGGCAAAATCAAACGCTTGCTAAGTATTCAGAAGCGATTCGTAGTGACGTTGATAAACTGCTGAGGATCAAGCTCAAAGCGATCGTCGTTATTGAAATTCATGCGAGAGATGTCATTGAAAAATTATATAAATTACGTATGTTTTTACCTTCTTTTTCCTCTATTACATCTTCTGACATTTAATATCACCGTTGGAAATTGAATTGAAGGGGTTTTAAATTTAATTGTACCTTTTTCTGATATAAAATACGACCTTTTTTTGGGTTTGAATAAATTTTTGTTCAACAGGATTTTATATTCCCTTAAAAAAGACCCCTTGAAAATAATAAACTTTGGGTAAATACAATAAAATCCTCAGGTTGTAAAGAAGTTACTTCTTTCGATTGGCTGTCACAACTCCGTTTCTACTGGGATCGCGGCCTCGATGACTGTGTAATCCGGCAAACAAACACGAGCTTCATCTACGGATACGAATATTTGGGAACTTCTGAGCGCTTAGTCATCACTCCGCTGACAGACAGGTACTTTTCCACGATATAAATAAATCTCCCCTTGTTTCGCGTAGAAAAAAGTTGATAAATACCCAAAATCATGTTAAGACTTTTCACTTGGGCTTTCTCTGGCTGGGTGTTGAAACAGTATCGATTTAATTCCGATAAAAGGCAGCAGAAGTGGGTAGTAGTTTAATTTATAGAAGAACCGGGACAATAAATCTAGAGTTGTGCATGGATCCGAGCAATTTGTTGGTATATAAAATGCATCTGGATGGAGCAATTTTGCATGTCGTTAATATTACGTTTCGCGAATACTCACTTAGGAGATTGGGATTGCGTCTTACAAGTCTCGGAAATGTCTTTCACTTTATCTAAGTTGGTTTATATTAAATCAATAGCCGAAAGGTAACTTTCAGATAAATGGGAAAGCATTTGTTTTTATTTATCCTTAGACTTGTGCTTTTGCTTATGTGTTTTTCTCTTTTATCCAGATGTTACATAACTTTGACAACAGCACTCAATCTGTACCGCGGCGGGTGCCCCAAAGGACCAGCTGGTACGGGAAAAACAGAAACAGTTAAGGACCTCGGAAAGGCTCTAGGTCTGAATGTCATCGTGCAAAACTGCTCAGAGGGGCTGGATTACAAAAGTATGGGGCGATTGTTCGCCGGTCTAGCGCAAACTGGTGCTTGGGGTTGCTTCGATGAGTTCAACAGGTTGTATTTTAACGGCCTAATATCTCTGGGACGAGCTATAGAGTGTGTAATACCCTTTGTAGGATCAATATCGAAGTGCTGTCGGTTGTCGCCCAGCAAATTCTCTCCATCCTTACGGCACTTGCTCAGAAGTTAACGAGATTTATCTTTGAGGGCAAGGATATTTCCCTTGTTCGAACCACCGGAATTTTCATCACCATGAACCCTGGCTACGCCGGAAGAACAGAATTGCCTGACAATCTTAAATCCATGTTTAGACCAATCTCCATGATGGTTCCCGACAGCGCTATCATTGCCGAGATAAATCTTTTTGGAGAGGGATTTGAGGACACGAGAATTCTAGCCAGAAAGGTATCATTTTGCTATATTGTTATTGTTATTATTATTATTATTGCTTCCGTCGAGACGATTATTGATCAATTATGCTGTCAACTTACTGTGACATCCAATTATGATGCAAATTAATGATAATTTATCATACATTATCATTTTCAAGTATTGGCTTTTCGATTAGTCGCTTCGACAGATTTATATTTTATTTAGCCGTCCGTTATTAAATGGCTAGACACTTTTTTATCATAATGAAAGATTCATGCGATTTCATTATAAATTTTCAATCTTTTTGGCAATTGTTAATATTTCATTTAATAAAAAATAACTTGGTTGAAAAAAAAATATTTTTTTAATAAATTATTCTGTATTCACTCACCATTGCTGCCTGGTAATTTATTCCATGAGATTGTCTGTCTTCGCAAAAATTCACCTTCAATTCTGCAACTAAAAATATTGGACATTTTTTTTACAACACAAAATTTATGAAGAAAATATTTTTTTTGAACCGAATAATTTTTTTATTTGTAAAAACAAAAGTTGCTACTAAATTTTATTATATAAAATTCATTAAAATATTCTATTCAAATCTCTACTTAAGCATCTTTGATAATAATTATTCACCCGTAATAAATCCCCAGATCTCAATAATAATCAGGAAATCTCATTAAACAAATAGGTATTCACTTTATACGCACTTGCACAACAGCAGTTGAGTAAGCAGCCTCATTATGACTTTGGTTTACGAGGAATAGTAACGTTGACACGTTATGCCGGGAAGAAAAGACGCCAGTACAGCCACTTACCAGATGAAGAGGTAACAAACTATCTTCCGAAACTTATTGCAATTAAACTTGTTAACGTCCTCTAGAAATGTTAATACTCACTTCCGTTTTCAACCTGTTTATTACTTTAGCATCTATTTAAACCTCCTAATTAACTTTTCATCTATTCACCTTATCTCCCTATCCATATCAATAATTCATATAAATCTTATTTAATAAATTTATCAAATCACCACAAATCTCAGATAATTATCTTATCGATGAACGACATGAACAAATCGAAATTAACTTCCGACGATCTTCCATTGTTCACCAACATCACTACAGATTTATTCCCCGAGATAAAAGTTCCTAAGGTAGATTATGACGAATTTATCGAGTACATTACTAAAGAAGCTATTGGATTGAATTTGCAAGTAAGTTATAGATTGCATTACAATTATTATTGTTTAAATATTGAATTTTTCTTATTTTTGGCCGTAAAAAAAATACTTTTTTAGTTTTTCCTTGAAATTTTTTAGCATCCTTTGAAAAGCATAAAAAAAATAAGTAGGTGAAAAATAAAATTGCACAGAAAAAAAGGTTCACTTGAGCCAAGAAAATATTTTTCTTCCTAATTATTTTCTTGAGCGAAAAAAAAAATTTTTTTTGACAAGAAATTTCACTTATTCCAACAAAATTAATTTTTTTGCTTTAAAAAAGTACGTATTTTGATCCAAGAAAATTTATTTGTCAAGAAAATCTTGTCGATTTGAGAAAATTTAGCCTCTTGCTCCAAAAAAATAAATATAAAGATAGAAGTAAATTTTCATTAATATTTTTATTGATTAACATGTCAAATGGGAAGATCAAATAATATTTCATCATTTTTTTCATTCAATATGTATAATTGCACGCTAAAATAATATAAAATGGGTATCAAATATTCAAGAGAAAAATTTTCTGAAGGTGAGAAAATTTTTTTCTCAGCTCAAGTAGGTGGCGCTGCTTCTCTAAAGTATCTAAAGAAAATATGTCTATAACTTAATTTTAGAATTTTTTATGGCCAAAAAAAACAGCATAATTCCAAATCCAAACAATCGACAACTATTTCCTTGTAATAACAGAATAATTTTTTTATTTTTTCCAACTGAAGCCGATTCCGATGCTCCTGACAAAAGTTATAGAATTGTTCGAGACGAAAAATTCCCGGCACTCGACGATGATAGTCGGGGAATCGAATACCGGTAAATCAACGACATGGAAAATTCTAAAGAAGACACTGACATCGATGAGCCAGGATGGAAAAAAGGGATTCAATATTGTAAGTGATTTTCCCATTAATCCAAAGGCATTAAACTTGGGCGAGCTGTACGGGGAATATAATCCTTCAACTGGTGAATGGTCAGACGGAGTAATATCCTCCATTATGCGAACGACCTGTACGGGTAAGTAGAATTATTACACTCCATACAATGTCGAACAAAATTACAGGGCATTCGACAGATTAATTACATTTATACGCTCATTCTCATTCTCTCTCAACCTTTACTTTTACCGTGATATTATCCGCGGAATTTCTATTCATCTTTTCCAATAAACCAACCGATAGATAATAGCCCCGATGAAAAGTGGATCATTTTCGACGGCCCCGTGGACGCATTATGGATCGAAAATATGAACAGCGTGATGGATGACAATAAAATCCTGACGCTTATTAATAATGAACGCATAACAATGTCGGAACAAGTGTCGCTGCTGTTCGAGGTCCAGGACTTGGCTGTTGCCTCCCCGGCGACTGTTTCTCGAGCGGGGATGATTTATAATGACTACAAGGACTTGGGGTGGCGACCCGCCGTTAATTCTTGGCTTGAGAGCTATAAAACAAAGCAGGAAGAATTTGTCCAAGAAATGGATCTATTGTTCGAGAATTATCTTGACAAAATATTGGAGTTCAAACGAACCAACTGTAAAGAATTGATTGCTGTTAATGAGCTCAATGCTGTCGAAGGCTTATGCAAGCTTCTAAGCGCACTTGCTACTGAAGAAAATGGACTAATTTATGACGGAGACAAGGATAATTTTAGCTTTCTCTGCAAAATTTGGTTCCTATTTTGGTGAGATTAAATTAATTAAAAACATCCGATCGCTGCAAAATTAATGGAGTTATTTTTTAAGATCATAAATAAAATTTAAGATTTTTTGCAAGCGATCGGAGCTCCAGAATGTTGAAGTGAAAAATAGCTTTATTACTTTATCTTAAATAAAATACAGCGTGATTTGGTCAGTGTGCGCGACGGTTGACGAAGAAGGACGACGTAAAATGGATAATTACATCAGGGAGATAGAGAATATTTTTCCTCTCAAGGATACCATCTACGAGTATTACGTTGACGTAAGACAACGCGGTTTTACCTCGTGGGAAGAAAAATTGTCATTGGCTTGGAGATATCCTACTGAGTAAGATCTTTGACGTTTAATAAAGTTTATATTAAATTAACCACTTTACTCGTTTATTACTTGTATAACAAATTTATTCTTTTAAATATTGCCGGTGATTCATTTAAAAGGTTATTAAACTTCTAGACTTTATTAAAAAGCGGCATTCGGCCACACCCTACATGGATAGGTAGATTTTTGAGATAAATATTGAAAAATAAATCTATAGGAAAGTTATTTGACGATAAAATTAAAAAATTAATTCATTATTAATTTTTGGAAATATGAAAAAAATATCAAAAGTTGACGAACAATAGCTTAAATTGAAAATTATTATGTAAACTTTGACATAAATTTGATAGATTTAAGCTATCTTATCTAATAATCATTATAAATTAATTTATTGAGAGTTTTAAAGCCTAGTTTGACTTATTCTAATTACTTTAGACACGCGAGGATGTAAATTTAAAATTAAAAATTTGTAAAAAAATAACTAACGAATCAACTTAGTAGAAAATGCAAAAAAAATTGAATTGGTAATTTTTTTCAGGGCACCTTTCCACAAAATAATAGTACCAACTGTTGATACAGTCCGGTATGACTATTTACTAAACGCACTACTGACTCATGGATGCCCAGTGCTGCTAGTAGGAGCAGTGGGGACCGGAAAAACCTCAATGGCCCAATCAATATTGGAGTCCTTGGACAAAAGCAAGTACAGTGTCCTCACAATAAATATTTCGGGACAAACAAGCTCCAATAATATTCAAGACGCGGTGGAAAGCCGTTTGGAGAAACGAATGAAGGGTGTTTATCTCCCCTTCGGTGGTAAAACACTCATCACGTTTATGGATGACTTTAATATGCCGAGCAAAGATACTTATGGGTCTCAGCCTCCGCTTGAATTGATACGACAGTGGATTGACTACAAATTTTGGTATTGTTTGCTTTATTTTATTTCTTCTCATTTTTTAAGAAAAAAATTTAAAAAAAATGACATCAAACTGTGAAAAGTTTTCTACTTATTAATTAAATTAATAGGTACCATCGCAAGAAACAAATCCAGAAATTCATCCAGAAAATGCAACTAATATGCGCAATGGGGCCTCCCGGCGGTGGCCGTAGCACTATTAGTAATCGAATAATTACCAAGTTTAATGTCATAAACATAACTCTGCCCATAGAAAAACAGACCCTGCGTATCTACAGCACAATGCTGAATCAACAGTTGCTTGACTTTAATCCAGAAGTCAAGGGAATTGGTAAAAAATTTTTGAAGACTAATAAAAAGAATAGACTGAATCGATACTGGTGTTTTTTATGATTTCAGCCAAAGATATCACCCTGTCGACTATCGAAATCTACAATAGTGTGCTCAAGATAATGTTGCCTACTCCAGGAAAAATGCATTATCTGTTCAATCTTCGAGATATATCAAAGGTTATTTCCGATACAATAAATATTTTTTAACTTAAAAAATATTAACTTGTTAAAAATTCACTAAATGATTTTCTAAAATTATTTATTATTAATTAAAAAGCCTATAAAATATCAAAAATTTTTCCATCAGAATAATTTTACAATTCTTGTTAAAAAAAATTGCAATCTCCGTCAGGTATTCCAAGGACTTTTACGAAGCCACAAAGATTACCAATATTCCCGGTGGACATTTCTCCGTCTTTGGGTTCACGAGATTTTCCGAGTGTTCAGTGACCGGCTGATTGACGACCGGTAATAACAACTAGCTCTTTTCAAAATAAAAAATTTCTGAGGCGTGCTCACGACGTCAATAATCATACGTTACCTCAACTTGAACCGAGTGTAAATTTTTTATTACATCTGTCCCTACGTCCAAACAGAGACCGTGATTGGCTGATTTCAAAGGTGAATGAACAGCTGGGCAAATACTTTGAGCTGACATTTAAGAATCTCTGCCCGGAAAAACGGTCTCCTGTATTTGGTAAGTGTATTCTCAATTCAGTGCTCCAATCTCGACAAGTAAGTATTCCTAAAAATTCTTATCCACTCTTACCTCCTTTTCGAGGGTCTCTCCTCTCTTTCTTTCTCTCGCTCTATCAAGGTATAAGACTAAACTGAAAGCGAGCATCATGCAGGGAGACTTTACGATTTTATCCTTTAAGGTTTTCATCCAAATGGCGGATAGTGCCATAAAAAACCACCTCAGAGTAGAATAAAAAATAAAAATGATGAGAATCTAAAGAAATTCCATCACCAGGACGACGATGTCACCGACGAATGCACCAAGATCTTCTTCCTCTCTTCCTTATTCGCCTGATGAATTATTCATTTCTTGCACACTTGGCGCAAAACGCTTCACCTCAAACTTTTTTGCAATAGGTGCCTTCATGAACGCCTGGAACATATACGAGGACTTGCAGGACATGGACCCAGTGCGTTGTCACATTGAAAGACAGATGGAGGAGTATAATACCTCACCGGGGGTAGTCAGACTCAACCTGGTTCTTTTTGGCGAAGCTGTCGAGCACATTTGCCGTATTGCTCGAGTTATTTCTCAAGTAATTTTCGAGATTATTAAATAATGATATATGATAGGATAGAAATCTGTGAAAGCCGACTAATTGGTTTCAGCCGCGGGGCAACATGCTGCTCGTTGGAATTGGTGGTAGTGGAAGGCAATCTCTGTCAAAAATAGCCAGTTACATAACCGAACTGAGGGTCTTTCAAGTGCAAGTAACCAAGCAGTACGGTGTTCCAGAATTTCGTGAAGATCTCAAGAGACTTTACTCGATGACAGGAGTGGACAACAAGCCAACGAGTTTTCTTTTCCACGATTCTCAAGTCGTCGAAGAGCTGTTCCTTGAAATCGTCAACAGCATGCTTGGGACCGGCCAAGTTGGTAACTTGTACAAACCCGACGAAATTGAAGAGGTTTGTTGTTACTGTAATAACCATTTTATTGGTACTGATTACAATTGTTGGGGTTTAGTTGTATTATTTATTTTTTTCGTTTACTGATGAGTGAACTAATTTTATCAATCAAAAAAATAGACTCATTTTTTATAAAACTAATGATTATACTTTAAATAATGGGGTTAATTTTTAGACTCTTCAATTTAGAGAAAAATGTTTGAAGCAAAAGTTGTATAAAATTGAATTTTTAAATAAAAACTGTAGATTAAAAACTCACTGATGAAAGAGGCAATGAAAGAAGGAATAATTCCCACTGCGGAATCGATTCTGCTGTTCATGATCGAGCGCGTACGTGCTAATATGCACATTATGCTCTGTATGAATCCAATCGGGGAAAAGTTTCGAAATCGTTTGAGGCAATATCCGTCGTTGATAAATTGCACGACCATCGACTGGTTTCTTGCTTGGCCTAGAGAAGCACTACTGGAAGTCGGCAACAAGTTCCTCATGAATCTCAGCTTCGTTACGACAATCACTGGGGTGGACAAACCGGTAAGTCACTATTATGTGTTTTGTTATAAATTATAAAGATAAATTGGTTGAAAAATCCATAAATCAACGACTTAAAATACTCAGAAAATTTTTAATAAAAAGTATATTATTTCTAACCATCTAAATAATTGAATTTTCGAAAATTGGAGAGTTAAATCTTCTTTAATTATATTTATGTAGAATAGCATACAAATTTTGTGAACTAACAAGATTATAACAATAAAAATAATTGTAAAAAATTGTTTTTAAACCTCTGCACTATAAGCTGTGCAAAAAACATATGTAATTTTTGTTTCCGAACTAAAAAGAAGCACTAGAAGCATCTAGTAGACTAACGTTGAATTTTGTTAAGTAAATTGATAAAATTTCCACACATGCAATTCATTTTATTTTATTTTTGAATGTTATTACTTTATTAAAAACTGGCCAGGAGCCCAGGAGGTCAACAGCAGCAGCACCACCAATTTATTCACTCCAAGAACGCATGGTAGAGGGTGTTACCGCGACCTTTGCTCTAATTCACGACACCGTGATACAGTACTCGAGAAGAATGGAAATAGAGATGTCGAGATACTGCTACGTGACACCGGGAAATTTTCTTGAGCTGGTTGTTGGCTACAAAAAGTTTGTTTTTAAACTCAACTTGATTTGGTGAACAAGTCGGGCCTTTGTTTCGCCGTCACATGCTATTCTAGTTGGTGCTTTTGCTAGTTCAGTACACTTATTTTATTTTTTATTTAGAATGCTCGAGAACAGAAGACGAAAAGTTGCCGAGCAAGCGAACAAACTTAATGGCGGTCTCACTAAGATCAATGAAACTAAAGACAAGGTAAATGACATGGCTGTTGAACTAGAAGTGACACAGAGACAGGTGCTCAAAGCGACCGAGGACTGCGAGGAGTATCTCCTGACAATAGTCACCCAGAAACGGGACGCGGATGACACCCAGAAGAATGTCACTGCCAGGTCGCTTCGCATTGAGAAGGAGTCCGAGGAGTGCAAGAAGTTGGAGTCTGTTGCGAGAGCAGATCTTGAAACTGTCGAGCCTGCTCTGGATCGAGCTATGAAGGCGAGTATTAAACTTTAAACGTTTTTTTTTTTTTTTTTTTGGGAGGTGTAATACAACTGATAAAGTTTGTTCTTTTTTCGTTCCAGGCACTCGATACTCTAAATAAGAAAGATCTCGCCGAGATAAAATCATTTGCCCGACCACCCCCCGGCGTCGAAATGGTACTGGAGGCCGTGATGATACTGAAAAACTCCGAGCCAAGTTGGGCGGAATCCAAGCGACAACTGGGCGACGTCAATTTCTTATATTCAGTTTGTGGATTTCTAGATAAATAAAATTAGGTCTTTTTTGTCGCTAATTGATAGGCTGAATTGCACGCCTCAAAGGACGGTTTTATACGGAAAAAAGTAAACTGTAATAAACAATAGTCGATTTGAAATAATTAATGTAAAAATTAATCGGAATCCGAGTGAATTTTACAGTTTACTTTTTTCCGTGTACAGTCGCGAAATTGAGAATGAGTAACGTATGATGAGACTGCTACAAATTACGGCCATTCAACGAATTCATAAATTAAAAATATCGCTAGCTATTTGGCTTTTATTATAAGCCGACACGTTTTCAAACCTTCGAAAAAATTCCAAATTTTTTTTTAAATTAATATCTGATTTTATAGTCATTGAAAAATAACATAAAAGCTTTTATTTAAAATGAAAACTTGTAATTTTGATCAGCATCAGCATTATCGACAAAAAAATTTAATAATCAAAAAAATTAAAAACAATTTCCCGGAAAATTGACTCTCCATACTCTATTTTAGTTAAAAAACTTCGCAAAGGATCGTATCGCAGATCGTACTCTGCGAGCCATCAGAAAATACACCTCAAGCCGAGAATTCAATCCCGATAAAGTAGGCCAAGTATCAATCGCCGCAAAATCACTTTGCATGTGGGTAATTGCGATGGAACAATACGGCAAACTCTACAGGTAAAATAATCTCGTGTTATAGTCAAGATAAAAATATAAACGGTGGGAAAAAGTTTCAAGAGGAGGTTTAAGCTTTAATTTAATGCACTAACAATCAACATCAAATTCACTAATTACCCGTTATAAACTAAGCGCCGTGTAAATAATTAACTTGCACACATCGGTTGCGTTATATAATCATAACAACTATAACAATAATAATTATGATGATAATTACTTCAGAATAGTGGCGCCTAAAAGAGAGCGGTTGGAGCTGGCGCTAAATTCGCTTAGGGAAAAAGAGAAGACCTACAACGAGGCCGTAATACAATTGCAAAAGTTGCGTTCAGAGTTGGAGAGTCTAGAGCAAATGTACGACGCGAAGATGAAGGAAAAAGAAGACCTAATTAGACTGGTGAGTACTTGAAAAAGCTCTACTTGGAATATCGATCCTTTTTTACCGCCTTCTCAAGCACGTAATAATGATGCAAGACGTCGGAAGTATTCAACAAATTCTCCCTTTCAACAGCGGGCAAATTGGCCGCGAGGATCTATTACGGATCTCATGAAAACTTTTCTCAGCAACAAAATTCAACTCTTTTAATGTTGCCCTTTTTTGAACTATTTTTCCCTTCCAACTATTTTTTACCCATCATTTTTATTTTATTTTATTTTTCCTCTTCGCCTCATTCTTATTTCGTTTTTCTTTTTGCTCTTCCAACATCATCAGGCTAATCTGCTGAAGATAAAGTTGGAACGAGCAGCGATGCTAGTGGATGGCCTCTCGGATGAGCATCTTCGATGGCAAGAGACAGTAGAGTCCTTAGGGGAGTTTTACGAGCGTCTACCCGGTGATTGCCTCATATCAACTGCTTTCATATCTTACTTGGGTCCGTTCCTGTCCAATTACCGCGAAGAACTCGTCCAGATTTGGATTAAAGAGGTGAGACAGCAATTGGCAAACTTTTTCATTCGATATTGACATTTATTTATTTTATTTTTCTTTTCTTCTAATCTGATTTCTTTTATTAGCTGTCAATCGCTCAGCTTGAGTTAAAATTTGTTTGTTTTTAATAAAGCAAGAATTTACCTTTAATTTTGTTGTTAAAAATTTTTTATCTGCTTTAAAAATAATTTTTTAGTTGATCTTAAAAAAAATTTTACTTACTTTGAATTTTAAATTTTCAAAATTATTTTTCTAGATTCTGACTAGAGAAATTCCCAGTACTAGCAAGTTTGATCTAAAGCAGTTCCTAAGCACTCCGACGACAATTAGAGAGTGGAATATCCAAGGGCTGCCCTCCGACGAATTCAGCACCGAGAATGGGATCATTATAACCCAAAGCACGCGGTGGCCTCTTGTTATTGATCCTCAATGTCAGGCAGTCAAGTGGATCAAGAATATGGAGGCAACTAACGTAAGTTTGTACTCAACTTTGGCTACACTTATACCAACTACGACAACTTACGGCTCACTGGAACGAGTACTTCGATTATTATTAATTATTACTAATATATAATACTTCCCTACCGATATCCGAAATTATAATATAGAGTTTAACCCACATCAAACCTTATAGAGTTTACGAGTCATTGACTTTGCCACCCGGGATTTCATAAAGGTTTTGGAACAAGCATTGCAGTTTGGAGAACCGGTGCTACTTCAAAATATTGGAGAACATGTTGATCCTATTTTGAATCCGGTTTTACATAAATCATTTGCTAAAATAGGTAAATGACTTATTTTTTTAATTTTATAATTTGATTAATATTTAATTAGCAACCTTGCAGTCACCTTGTGACTGCCATGACTAGTGAACTTCAAATGAAGAAAATTTTGCTTTATTAAATAATGAATTTTGTTAAATTGCACTGCACTTTCTTAATTATTGACATTTTTAAGATATAAGCTCATCTCGATGTGATACTCATCAAGAGCTTTCATTTGAGTACCCATATGCATTTTTATATATTTTTCATATATTAATATATATAAATATATAAAATATATGAAAAATTGATGTGGGTACTCAAATGAAAGGTCTTGATGAATGTAACTTCAGGATGAGCTTATATAGTTAAAAATATCATCATTGAACAAAATACAACGTCATTGCTTTATTATTTACATTTTTAAAGATATAAACTCATCCTAATGTTACACTCATCAAGAGCTTTCATTTAAGTACTCACATCAATTATTCATATATTTATATATATTACATATATATGTATATATGAAGAATATATAAAAATGCATGTGGGTACTCAAATGAAAGCTATTGATGAGTATAACATCGGGATGAGCTCATATCTTTAAAAATATCATCAGTTGACAAAATACAATATAAATTCTTAATTATTGACATTTTTAAAGATATAAGCTCATCCTGATGTAACGCTCATTTAGAGCTTTCATTGGAATACCCACATGCATTTTTGATATATTTTTCAAATATACATATATATAATATATATAAATATATGAAAAATTGATGTGGGTACTCAAATGAAAGCTCTTAATGAGTGTAATGTCAGGATGAGCTTATATCTTTGAAAATGCCAATAGTTCACAAAATACAAGGTCATTTCTTAAACATGTAATATATATAATATATATTTTAAAGATATAAGCTCATCCGACTGTTATACTCATC